CAGTATCTCACACATGCTAGGAAAGTGCTGTGCTCTACCACTAAGCCACAACCCCAGCCCCGACTATATGTTTTTTATATATAATTTATTACCTATTCAGTATGTAACCTCTCTAAAACATGAACTTCTTAAGGTCATGAATTCTGTCTTGTTTATCATTATATTTTCAGAATAAAGCCTTGAACATAATAAGTGTTTAATAATATACATTGCATGTGTATTTTATATGTTTTGTACACTATATATTCAGTTGCTTGATATTATATATGTGTGTATATTGTAGATCCTAATATTACCCTCTTTACCTGAATCTATACTACATAATCATAGTAAGCCCAACCTGAATTATATACATTGCTTATTATATATCTATTCTACTCTACAATATATATAATTTTTTGTTACATACTTCTTATTTTGTAATATTATAATTATAGTTTCTTCTGTATAATTTATACGTATGTGTCCTACTTTATATCTTTTGATTCAGGCTTTTAATCTAAGATTTTAACACTTACATGTTTTAATTCCTTAAATGTTCTTGAAAAATATGATTTTAAGTGTTCTTTCATGTTCCCCTAATTTGATATTTGATCAACGTACTACTGTTTTTTTTTTCCAATTTTGAATATTACTATGAGGATCATCCATTTACATGTAATCTAGACTTTTTTTCAGGATAAAAAGCTAGCAGTGCAATTCTGAAAACCAGAGTATACTAACATTTTTATTCTCAATATAAAACAGTCCCCAGTTGTATTCCAGGAAGGTTTATGCAGTTTCCACTCTCATCTGCTGAATATGAAAGTGCTCACTTCATGGGGTCCTGACTAAAATTCTCCATTAACTTTTAAAAACATCTTTATAATCAGAAGAACTAAATAGGTATCTTTGGTTATTTTCATTTTTTATTTCTTACATTGTCTTTTAGACACATTTCTATATAATCTCCAGGCCAGGTCACTTTTCTCTTTTTGTGCTTTTTAATTTTTATTTATTTATTTATTTATTGTGTGTGTGTGTGTGTGTGTGTGTGTGTGTGTACGTAAACATGCCAGGGATTAAATCCAGGGGTGCTTTACTATATCACCAGTGTATTATTATTATTATTAATTTTTTTTTGTTTTAAGACAGGGTCTCATAAAATTGCTGAGGGTCTTGCAAAGTTGCTGAGGCTGTCCTTTAACTGGTGATCCTCCTGCCTCAGCCTCATGAGTTGCTGGGATTTCAAGTGTACACCACTGTGCCCAGCTAGGCCAGCTGTCTGTGTTTTTTATCTGATTATATACAGGAAGGACACAAACTACCATAAATGCTGTTGAAGGAGCAGGCAGTTTCAATCCATGCTGACCTTGATTTGAATCCTGTCATTGCCACTGCTTGTCTGTATAATTTCAGGCTAGCCTTGACTTCTCCCTCCCTGCAAAGGAGCTGGGAATACTGTATGTGATTAGACTGTGAGAATTAAATGAGATTCCCCCYGACAAAACAGGGTTTCTAGTCCCAAAGCTATCTTCCTGCTCCTCCCAAGTCCTTGTTAGGCCCTCCAGAATCTTTGTGGCTCATATGTAGACCACAATTTTACTTTCATTGCTGTTTCTAATAATAAAATCTTATATTTCTGTCTTTCATTTGTTGTTTTTAATAGTTTTAATCCCTATCCAATTAGATATAGGGACACTGAGATGTGATAACTGATAGACAATATTTGTGTGTGGTTGCTCAAATATTCTCCCCTTGATATCTATTGGAATTTTTATTTTAGGCCTTTGAAACATTTTCATGGAAGTATTTAAATCCTTTCTTATTAGTTGTCTATTGCAAGTAAATATTATATCTTCAAAATGTCCTTTGTTCCAGAAAATAGCTTTTGTGGAGAATTCAATTCTAATAATATTTGAACTTAGTAGGCAGCAAAAAATGTGCTTGGGTTTGTATGGTCTSTTTCTACTGAAAATTTACAAATCAACTAGTGGCTTTTATGCTATATACTGCTCCATAAAGTCTTTGTCTGTTAATATGTTATATTTCATTTTTTAGAACACTGGAGTTCCTGATGAGGCACTTGTCTCTTCTTGCAGACTACTGTTCCATCACAAATATGCATGCAAAAAATCTAGCAATTGTCTGGGCTCCAAACCTGCTTCGGTAATTTGCATTGTCTTATGACCTTTAATAGAACTAATTGTTTTAATTCTATTACTAGAACCAAAAGTGTAATTCATCAGTGTTTGTTAAGGAAAAATTTAAAGAGGAAGGCAAATTATTTCTTTTATTAGCATCTCCCAAAAATAGGCATATGGGGCTTAGCTAAGTTACTATAAAAGTATGATTTCTTTCTCTGATTTGCCTGTGATTTACACATTTTTAAAAGATGTTCTTTATGACTGTTCTCTTTGTAATTGATGGCAATGTTGTTTACCTCACAGATCAAAACAGATAGAGTCTGCCTGTTTCAGTGGAACAGCCGCTTTCATGGAAGTAAGGATTCAGTCTGTGGTTGTTGAGTTCATACTCAATCATGTAGACGTGCTCTTCAGTGGCAAAATCAGTGCAGTCATGCAGGAAGGGGCAGGTATGACACAGACAGATTTTATTTGCTCCTGGAAACATGTATCTAAACTTCTAAAGGATGGAAAACTTTGTATTGCTTGTCTCAATTAAAATATGGCATTAGAAGACAGCGAATTTATGTCCATTTTTCATAATCACAAATTGAGTTATTTTGTGTGAATACAATGAACACTATATRTCAGACCTATTGTGATCTAAGTTCATGACGTATAAAACAAGTCTTGGCACCTTTTATTGATGTATATTAAGGTACTTTGTGGAGCAGAGAAGAAAAATTTCTTCCAAAACTAAAAATGCCTTTTGGTTATCTTTTAAGAAGGGAAAATAAATGATTAAAGAAGTTGTGTGGTGGGGGGGGCTGTGGTCTGGTTATGTCACTTTGTGTTTCTCTCTGGATGTAAAGTGCTTTGATTATTGCCATTTAAAAGACCTGAAGGAAATATGATACAACACTGATTGGCAGATAGAGGATAGACAGGTTGATACATGCTAAAATTGTTGACTACATCATTTCTTTCTTTTTCTTTCTGAAGCTTCTCTGTCAAGGCCCAAATCCTTGCTGGTATCCTCTCCATCTACCAAGCTGCTGACATTGGAGGAAGCCCAGGCAAGAACACAGGCTCAGGTCAATTCTCCAATTGTAACTGAAAATAAATATATTGAAGTAGGAGAAGGACCTGCTGCACTTCAGGGGAAATTTCATACCATAATTGAATTCCCACTTGAAAGGTAAAATTTATTAATTCCTATTTAAGAATGTGATTTTCATAGCCATGTGCTATTGCTTCCTTTTAGTTTTCTTTTAGTTTTTTTTCTTTCTGAACTTTTTGGAGGTGCTAGGGATCAAACCCAGGGCTTTGCACATGACAGGCAAGCACTCTACCACTAAGCCACATTCCAGGTCTGTTTCACATTTAATTTTGTACTATAGTATTCACATTTTAAATTATGGGCCAGTCCCACAAACTCTGTTTATCTGAATGTGAATGATGCTTAACACTTCAAAGGGAATGATAAGAATTAGTTTTGCAAAAGCATCACAGAATAATGTCATTAAAAAAAAAGGTCATTTGGACAAAAATGATGCACTATTTATRTGGTGCGGATTTTTTTCTCCAAGATACGTTTTTTAGAAATTTGTTTAGAAGTAAGCTGTTTTGGAACAGTTTATTCAGAAAGTAAGTGGATAATGACTTGCTTGAAATAGGTTCCATGTTAAGGTTCAGATAGGTCAGTGGTTCTTAAAGTGTATTCTCTTGGCCAACAACACCAATGTCACCTAATAGCTGTAGTAATCCTCCAGCCCCATTCCAAGCCCACTGTACCAAGAGCTCTAGGATAAGTCCTTTGTCAAGCTTTCCAAGCAGTTGTGATGTTTTCAAAAATTAGAGAACCACTGTAGTGTGCCCTTTCAGTGGCCTTTCCAGCTCTGAAATTCTCTGTACCTCTAAAGAAATGATAATAACATGGTTTCTGTATCTTCTTTACTAGGTTATAGTAGGAAGACTAATGTATGTAAAAGTTATTTTTGATGTCTCTGCTACTCCTTTGGCTATTGCACATGAATGTAAGGATCTCACTTCTCTGGATGGGGTTGTACTAATAATAATGCTTTAGAATGTCTTTTTCCCATATTTTATTATACTCCTCTAACTTCCTTTTGCTCCCATGACTAAAAGAGCAAAAAGTTGAGACATACTCTTAGCATCTTGGTTTTATACTTTAGCTCCATAATTTACTCAAGATCTTCCTTATAGATTGTATTTAAAAGAGTAGATACTGGGGTGTAGATAGACTTGGGTTTCAAACCTGACTCCATCACTTACTACTTTTATAAMTTTAAGGAAGTTACTTGAATGACTAATTTCTTCAGCTGTACAATGAGAATATGATTATATCTTAATATAATTATATCTGATTTAAAAGAAATASTATGTATAAGGTGTTTAATGCAGTGTTTGGCATTAAATGTATACTAGTTTTTTCTTTTTTTTGTTCTTATTCTCTCTACTCATACCTAAAATCATTTTATTCAACTGTGTTTTATTTTTGGAGGTCCGAATAGTTCTATTCGCATTTGTGTTTTATTCTCACTTCGTTRCAGCTTGTGATGTTGGCTCTAAATATGAAGATATGCATAAAAATGATCTTTGTGAAACTGGTTACTAATAATCAAATCTGCTCCTTTAAGTTTCATTTCATGCTATAGCTGCACTGTGTTGTGTGTACCCTGTAGAAGGAGGGAGCTTGTTTATTCTTTCAGCTGTGCCTCTCCAGGTTGTTTGGTTTGTTTTGTTCTTTCTACTATTTGTTCATTTTTTTTTCTATAAGATAGACTTTTGGCTGTCTTAACATTGATTAATTATTTTCTGTCTCATAGAAAGAGGCCTCAAAATAAGATGAAGAAATCTCCTGTGGGCAGCTGGCGTTCATTTTTCAACTTGGGGAAATCATCATCAGTCTCTAAGCGGAAGTTGCAGCGTAATGAGAGTGAGCCTTCAGAAATGAAAGCTATGGCTCTCAAAGGTAAGTGCCTTCCCGCAGCACTGTTCTGTGGCTGGCAAGCATTTTGTCTACTAAGTTTCCTCTACTGCCTAGTGATAACCTTTTGTTTTTCTGGGCACATTCTCCATGTGTTGTTATGATAGGCTATCCTTTAATATGTGCACAGTTGTGTGGTCCAGGTGGATTGTCTTCGTGACCATTTCTTTATCACCAACCTGAAATCATATGTAATACAAAGAGGGACCCAATTTCTTAAGGACACCATGTAGATTATATGTAGGATGAAGTGATTAAAAATTCAAGCATATTGTAACATAGCTTATATATTATTAGTAATAAACAAATACTGCTGTACTAGTTTTTTTAATTGATATTTTTGAACTTTGAAAAATGACAAAACTATGTTTCAATATGTCTTTGAGGTTTATATCTCTTATAATCAAAGAAATATAGTTTAAAATTCATGTTCTGATAATAGTTTCTGAATCTAGAAAGGATTTTTTTCTTAGRTAATGTTGGCAGTATAATGTTCAGTTCATTTAATTCATCATTCATTCAGTTTGTAGTCATGTACCAAGTGTGTCTTAGGTATTTTGATAGCAGGCCCTATAGATAGAAAGAAAATTAAGGTAGCATACTGCCTATAGCATCTTAATTGGAAAGTCCCATGTATAAGGAAATAAATTTCAGTGCATAATCATAGCTATTGAAGCAGTTTTGTATAAGATATCTATGAGAGGCATTGTCTGATCTTGTGGGGCAGGGCTGGTAGTAAGAAAGATAACCGTAGATTTGAATATTGAAGAATAAGTAGGGATTTCACCTAATCAACAAGGGTCTAAGAATTGGGTTTCAAGCATAGGTGCAGGGTGAGAAGAGAAGCAGATTACAGACACAATTCTGAAGAAAAGCAATCATTAAAGGACTATAAAAGGAAGAGTTGTCATGAGAATAGAGTGAGAAGTGGTCAGGAAAGTAGGCAAAGAACAGGAGAGTTGGGTGATATCTCCATTAGGGAGAAGGGACTGAAAATGGAAGTGCCCTCAATGCCACCAATGGATAAGAGAGGATGGAGGTGTCTAGTAAATAAGATTCACCATATGTAATTGAAATTACTGTAAGTATTTCCTAGGCCTATTGTAAAAGACTAGTACAAATCAAGTGACTTAAAACAACAGAAATACATTCTTTTACTGTTGTCAGCAGGGCTGTGCTCCAGGGAAGAATCCTTCTTTGCCTTCCTTGCATCTTCCCGTTCCTGATGGCTCCTGGCATTTCTTGGCTTGAGGCAGCATCACTCTGTCTCTGCATCCATCTTCACAGGGCTTTCCCTGTGTTTCTCTGTCTTCTCTTCTTGTAAGGACACCAGTCACTAAGGGTGGGGCCACTGTAAGTCTAATGTGATATCATCTCTGGATATCATGTTGGTCTTTAGGAAATACACAAGAAAAGTCTTTTAGTTAATCTCTATGCTCAAGTTCATGATCCTTTAGAAAAGAGAGTTGAACATGGGACACCATTTGAGAATAGTACAACACTTTATATAATAAGGTGGTAAATTGAATGTGACTCTTAATCTGTACAGCCAACCACTCTTGGAAATTTAAGCATGTGTTAGGAAAAACACCGATCCCTTTTATAATATGCAGCAAAATTAAAACTAAACACTTTTTGGTTTTGATTCTTCAGGTGGCAGGGCAGAAGGGACCCTTCGCTCAGCAAAAAGTGAGGAGTCTCTTACTTCTCTTCATGCAGTTGATGGTAAGACTGAAAGAATCAATTGTTTTATTCCATGATAGCTTTCATAAGAGAACATGAACATAGCAATTGGGTGTACTTTATAAATATATACTTAATAAATAGACTATTGATTATCATTTCTAAGAATTCTAGTATTTAGTATTGTTCAGATTACAATTCTTTGCTGTTCTAATATGGCAGCAGTATTTTGGCAGGATTACTATTTATTTACATTAAAATGGCTAAAATGTTTTAAATTAACCATTTATATTGATTAATGCCTAGTAAAAACTGGGATYACAACTGTCTCCTTCTTTAACTTTCACAAGTGGGAGCTTAATGTTTGCTACAAAATATAAAGTGAAGCATTTTGATGTTTAGACCAGTTGTCTTGCAAATTGGTTAACCTGACCTTAAATTTCATAGAGCAGATTGATTATAGCTGGTCTCATTGTCCCAGGATAATTAGCACTTGGAGAAGCAATGTAAAATGGATCTGTTTAAAATTGGGACCAAGATTTCATGGTAACAATGAAAAAGGTTTTATTGCAATGTAACTTGACAAACAAAACTAAAATATTAAAATAAATGTGTATTATATTGTTTAGTGAAGTTAAATTATAGTTGCAACTATTTACTAAACCAACATTGACTTGGAAGAAGATACAATATTTTTTGACAAATGTAAGAACTTTATTTGATCCTTGATTTGTGCTACAGATTATAAAGAAGGCCCTTTCTACAAAAGTAATCAAAAACTAATTAATTTTCCAAGGGCTTTTCTTAATCTGTTGATATTCAGATCATGTGCTTTTCAAGTATCCCTGTATCATCATCGTGATCAATTTTCTCATCTTCATTTATTAACCTTTCTAACTGCCAAATCTTCATGGACCAGTGATTTTCCTTGTGGTTCATAGTGCTCCCACATCACTTTATCCGAGTGGCTGACAATCTTAGAAAAGTTCTCCAAGATTTTTAATTAAACTGTAGTCAGCATAATCTATGAAAACAAAGCAATGGGCTAGGTTCATGTCAAGTGGAAAATAATATTTGGGTCAAGATTACGTWTTTAAGTGGTAGATATGTCAGTGTATATATTTATGTTAAGATAGCTTCTCACTTCTTATATTACATTTTCACTATGGCAATTAAAAGTTTCATAGAATAAGTGGTTTCATTTTTACCAGTTGGACTTTTAGCAACATCATAAAATTGCATAATACTACCACTCCCCAGGGCTCTGCTTGAGAAACTGAAGGCCTAGTCTTATAAATTAAAAAAAAAAATGAAATTAAGTGTTCGAAAGGAATCATTTAAGTATATGTTAATGCTATTTAATCAAGTTTTTTTTTGAAATTTGAGTAGCATAGGATATTTCCTCCAAAGAAACAACCTTTTTTGCTATTTTATGTCCAAAATGCTATCTAAAGTGATTTATTTTACCTTACAAGTCATGTGTGAGGCTAATGATACAATAAGACAAAAAGAAATGAAAACTTGCCCAGAGTCACACAAAGAGTCAGTGTTGGACCAATAAAAATTCAAGAGTCCTGGTCCTTTTTCTTATCAAAACCATGAAGCACTGCATTCTCCCTCTGATTATATGAAATGTGCTTGCTATTTAGCATTTGGTTGGGGAGTTTTGTTATTACAATGATCTGTGTGTCTTGAGACAATTTATAAAAAGAAAATGAAAAGTTGCATTTTCTTACCTAAATGGTGAGTTACTGCTATACCAAGTAGGTGGCTTCTCATGGCATTATATATCCTGTGACATTCATACTTTGACATTGTTGTCCATTTTTACTAGGTGATTCCAAGCTCTTCCGACCCAGAAGACCCCGATCTAGCAGTGATGCCCTGTCTGCCTCTTTTAATGGAGAAATGCTGGGGAACCGCTGTAATTCCTATGATAATCTGCCCCATGACAATGAGAGTGAGGAGGAGGTAGGGCTGCTGCATATTCCAGCTCTCCTGTCTCCTCATTCAGCTGAGGATGTTGACTTGAGCCCTCCAGATATTGGAGTAGCCAGCCTGGATTTTGATCCAATGTCATTTCAGTGTAGTCCCCCTAAGGCCGAATCAGAATGCCTGGAGAGTGGTGCTTCCTTTTTAGATTCATTAGGATACTCCAAGGATAAACCATGTACCAGTAAAAAGGATGTAGAACCAGGTGGTAGCCAGTCTCAGACTCCAGGAAGCACAGCAAGTTCTGAACCTGTCTCTCCAGTTCAGGAGAAACTGAGTCCATTCTTTACCCTGGACCTAAGCCCAACTGAAGAGAAGTCATCCAAATCATCCTCATTTACTGAAAAGGTCGTCTATGCTTTCTCTCCGAAGATTGGACGAAAACTAAGCAAATCGCCTTCCATGAACATATCTGAGCCAATTTCAGTGACCCTTCCACCTCGGGTGTCAGAAGTCATCAGTATTGGCTCAAATACTGCAGCTCAGAATGCATCATCTCCAACCTGGGACAAAAGCACAGAAGAAAGCGATGTCACAAATAGATCCCCCACCCAAATAGTAAAGATGAAAACAAATGAGAGAGAGGCCCAAGAAGGATGTGAACCTGAAATCCAGCCCCTGGACCAGGTAGCTGCTGAAGAAATAGAGTTGCCAGGGAAAGAGGAGCGGTCTGTCTCAAGCAGTCAGAGTAAGGCTGTAGCTTCTGGACAGACTCAGACAGGTACCGTTTGTTTTCCTCCATTCTTTCTTTAAATTAAGAGGGATCTTCAATCTTGTAAATCCATCTGTGCCTTTTAAGAGAGAATTTGCTCCACAGGTAGCCTTTAATCCAGGAGAATGCTTCTCTGAGCATTGGCAGATGGCTCAAGCCCTACATTAAAGTCAGTCAAACAAAAACTCCCCAAAGAGCTTGTGGTCCTGCTTCAGACCATCACAAAAGTCCCTTACCTGTATGGACAGTGAGAATTCCTTGATAATTTTTTGTACAACTTCATAGCTCTTGAATCAATTTTCTCTTCTAATGAATATCATTATTGTAGCCTTACAAGTTAACAGCCTATACCATCCAGTGTGAAAACTAGCCTTAGTAACAATCCATAAGCCTTGAAGCTTGTGTTCTAAGCAATCTTTTCTGAGCCCCCTCCCCATTTCTATAGCAATTCAAGAGGAGCTTGCAACCTTTAAGCACTCTTAGTTTTCCTTCCAAACGAGATGTATTTTCAACAGCATTTGCATGTGGGATAGAAGATCATGGATTGCCATTTTGAAATATGGAAGGCACCTGTTTTTAAATAATCAAGTGGGGAGTGTTTGGCTTTCCGTATAGGATAACGTAAGCTACCTTTTCATTCTCATTTTTTTTCCCAATTTCCCACTAGGAGCAGTTACCCATGACCCCCCTCAGGAGCCTGTTCCTGTCAGTTCAGTCTCTCTTATCCCACCGCCACCGCCTCCGAAAAATGTCGCCCGAATGTTGGCGCTAGCATTAGCTGAGTCTGCGCAGCAAGCCTCTACTCAGTCACTGAAGAGACCAGGGACTTCTCAGGCTGGGTACACAAATTATGGAGACATAGCAGGGGCTACAGCTGAAGATAAACTGCCCAGTCCCTACTCTAGTATTTCTCTAGATAAGGCCTATTTCCAGACAGATCTACCAGCAGAGCAGTTCCACCTCCAGAACAATGCACTGGGAAACTGCAACCAGCCTCTCCCAGAGACAACAGCTGTTGGGGATCCTACTCATACCAAGATAAATGAATCTGGGGAGCAGCTCCACCAAGTAGACTTACCAGGAAACCATCTACATCGAAACTATTTATCTGGGGACCCAGAAAAGGCCAGAATTACTTTAGTTCCCTTAACAGACTCAGAAAAGTCTGATGATCATGTAGGTTTTCCTGAAGACCAGGCTGGGAAGACCACTGTGGCAACCATCCCCTTCGTAGAGGAGGACCAGTCTGCAGTCCATTTCTACAGCGGGGATCAGTCTCCTGCCTACCTTGGTGCAAGTGTGGATCAGCCCCATCACCCTTCAGAACTTGCAGACCAATCTTCCATGCCTTCAAATTTGCCTAGAGACAAAAGCTGTCCTCTTTCTGGGTCCCCTGAAGAGAATACCAGCACAGCCACCATGACTTACATGACAGCGACTCCAGCAACAGCTGAAATAAGCACCAGGGATGCCAGCTGGGCTGTGAGTGAACAGCCCACTGCCACTGGGTTTGCTGTTGCTACCCTTCAGCGCACACACAGAAGTCATCGCCCTCTCCCCCCACCTCCTGCCCAGAGGACCACAGAGCAGCTGCCAGTCGCGGGGCAAGTACAAGCTGCAACCAGTATAGGACTGAATAATTCCCACAAGGTAAGAAGGGAGGAGGTTGGTGAGATGAAATATGCTTTTCCAAAGGTATGTCATTTTTCAGCAGGGTGTGTTGTTATCTTTGATAACAACTGTATTTGAATACAACATAATTTTTAACACTTATGGCAGGTTTCCATGAAATACTTCTGGTTTGAAGTTAGGGTTCTGCCTTTGCCTGGCTGCTGCAGCAGTTACCATATGACTACAATTTTATACCTGGTACCTTTTCTTCCTACATTTCTTTATGGTTATACAAAGGGATAACATGAGACAAACTGGGCTTTAGCTGTCATGCATGTGGGGTTTTTTTGTTTTTTGTTTTTTCCCTTTTGGAAATCCATCACTGACTCACTGTGACTTTGGGCAAGTCATTTAACTACACTATGCCAATCATTCCCATCTACTTAATGAAAATGCCTCACTCTGAAGATATCTCTGCCTGTTTTAGAAGTATGGAAGATTTTAGTACATTAGGATTTTTTGTTATTTTTCTCAACCTTAACCAGCAGATTGCTCCATAGTCAAGTATGTATTTTGAGGAGAGAATGTTATATGCAAAATGCTAAAAGTTGTCACACAGGTTTTTGGTTTTTTTTTTTTTTTTTTGTGGTCACCTTCAACTGAAAGGACTTGAATTTCTGATCCTTCCTTGGAGGATGCTAGTTCTAGCAATTACTTTTCAGAGAGAGCTTATTTGCATATTTCTGTGAGGATTGTATTTGGCCTATGGGTCCACAAATGAGTTGGTCAAAGGTAGGGAGAGAGATAACCTCTGACTTGAATGCCACCYTGGACAAGTCACTTTTGTATTCTTCCCTGTATTAGGGGTTCACAACTTTTCACTGTGTCCAACTGTGAATCACTTCCAGATGATAGAATCAATTATATTTATTGAATAAAATGTTCTTGATGTTGAGACTAAGCTAGAGCAGTATGGCAAATGTTTATTTTTAAGCTTGACAGTGTTATTTGACAAACCTTTCGGTCTTCACATTAAGACATCATCATAGGCAACCTCCTCTCATATTTAAAACCCATCACAAATGGAGAAAACCCTGAACAGTTCTCCAAAGATGGTAATATACCAGGTAGCAGCATAGGCTCCTTTTCCTGCCAATGGGAACAGGTCCAGTACAACTGCATGGCTTGGGAAGGTTCAAGCTGCTACCTAAATAGCCTCAGTTTGTGAGTTACAAATGTAATAGCATTTGATTTCATAAGGGGAGTGTAAAAAAAATGGACTYATAATATTTTCATTTTTGAATAGGTTCACGGAGTAATTCCAGCTCCAGAGAGGCCACCTGAACCTCGAGCTGTGGATGACCCTGCACCCATCTTTGTCAGTGATAGCTGTGCAGCTGCTGCTCAGTGTCCTATGGTTACTACTACTCTCCAGCCAGGCCTGCCTGAGAAAGTGCGGGAGAGTACCAGGGCCCCACTGCTCCACATGCGAGCCGAGTCCTTCCCTGGGCACTCCTGTGGCTTTTCTGCACCAATGCCCCCCACCAGAACAATGGAGAGTAAGATGGCTGCCGCCATGCACTCCAACAGTGCAGATACCGCTAGCAGTTCAAATTACCACTCCTTTGTCACTGCGTCATCAGCCTCAGTGGATGATGTGTTGCCTTTGCCACTGCCTGTCCCACAACCTAAGCATGCTTCTCAGAAAATAGCTTATTCCTCCTTTGCTAGGCCTGATGTCACCGCTGAGCCCTTTGGTCCAGAAAACTGTTTGCATTTCAATATGACTCCAAACTGCCAATTCCGTCCCCAGAGTGTACCTCCACATCATAATAAATTGGAGCAACACCAAGTGTATGGTGCCCGATCAGAGCCACCAGCCTCCATGGGTCCTCGTTATAACACCTATGTGGCCCCGGGAAGAAACACGTCTGGACACCACTCCAAGCCGTGCAACCGGATGGAGTATGTTTCTTCTTTGAGCTCCTCAGTTAGGAATGCTTGCTATCCTGAAGATATTCCACCATACCCTACCATCCGGAGGGTGCAATCTCTCCATGCTCCCCCATCTTCCATGATTCGTTCTGTTCCCATTTCACGGACAGAAGTTCCCCCGGATGATGAACCAGCCTACTGCCCAAGGCCCCTGTACCAGTTTAAGCCATATCAGTCCTCCCAGGCCCGCTCAGATTATCATGTAACTCAGCTTCAGCCTTACTTTGAGAATGGACGGGTCCATTATCGCTATAGTCCATATTCCAGTTCTTCTGGTTCCTATTACAGTCCTGATGGGGCCCTGTGTGATGTGGATGCCTATAGCACAGTACAGTTGAGGCCCCTTCATCGCCTGCCAAGTCGTGATTTTGCTTTCTACAATCCCAGGCTACAAGGCAAGAACTTGTACAGTTACTCTGGTTTGCCTCCACGCCCGCGGACCAACATGACTGGCTATTTCTCTGGTAATGACCATAATGTAGTAAACATGCCTCCACCTGCTGATGTAAAGCACACCTATGCCTCGTGGGATCTAGAGGACATGGAAAAATATCGAATGCAGTCTATCCGGAGAGAGAGCCGTGCACGGCAGAAGGTGAAAGCGCCTGTTATGTCTCAGTATGACAACATGACCCCAGCTGTGCAGGATGACCTGGGTGGGATCTATGTCATCCATCTGCGCAGTAAATCAGATCCTGGGAAAACTGGACTTCTCTCAGTGGCAGAAGGAAAGGAGGGGCGGCACCCAGCCAAGGCTGTGAGTCCTGAGGGAGACGACCGCTTCTATAGGAAGCATCCAGAGCCAGAGTTTGACAGAGCCCCCCACCATGGAGGGTATGGCAGTATACAGGCAGAGAAGCCAACCCTCCCTCAGAAGCAAAGCAGCCTTAGGAATAGAAAGCTTCATGACATGGGTTGTAGTCTCCCAGAGCACAGGGTGCATCAGGAAGCAAGCCATAGGCAATTATGTGAATCAAAAAATGGGCCACCATACCCCCAGGCAACTGGCCAGTTAGATTATGGGCCCAAAACAATTCCAGACACTTCTGATCCAGGCAGCTACCATAATTCTGGAGGGAAATACACCACAGGGCAGGAGTCCTTAAGATTGAACCACAAAGAAGTGAGGCTCTCCAAAGAGCTGGAGCGGCCCCGAGCCAGGCAGCCACCTGCCCCTGAGAAACACTCCAGAGACTGCTACAAAGAGGAGGAGCACCTCACTCAGTCAATGGTCCCACCCCCTAAGCCAGAGAGGAGCCATAGCCTAAAACTTCATCATACCCAGAACATGGAAAGGGACCCCAGTGTGCTGTACCAGTACCAAACGCACAGCAAGCGCCAGAGCAATATGACTGTTGTGTCCCAGTATGACAACCTGGAGGATTACCACTCCCTGCCCCAGCACCAGCGAGGAGGCTTTGGAGGCGGGGGCATGGGAACATATGTGCCCTCTGGTTTTGCCCACCCACAGAGCAGGACATATGCTACAGCATTGGGTCAAGGGGCTTTCCTGCCCACAGAGTTGTCCTTGCCACATCCTGACACACAGATTCATGCAGAATGAGCCCCGGGAGCAATAGAGTTGAAGCAGCCTCTGCTGGACAGTGGACTGTTCTATTTTTTTCAATAACCAAAAAAGATTAAAAAAAAAAATCTACAAAACCCCTGACCACGTTAAAAAGAAAATATAATAAAAGTAAACAAATCACCATCCTCCCCGCCCTTTCCTGCTTCATTACCACCTCTTTCATCTATAGACTGTGTCATTTTTGTCTTTAAAAGAGATCTGAATGATTGTAAAGCACTGTGTTGAAAACCTAGTAAAGAAATTTGTCACAGACCGTACTTGCCATATAGGGCTAATTTATAAGAGCCTGAGGACTGCCTTTAACTGAATTTAAATTTAACTTTGTCTTTTCTTCTTAGCACTTGCTATCTAGTTCAGAGCAGTTTACATCTATTTCCTGGTGGGTTTTTGCATTTACTGTCATSTTCCTACGCCCCCATCAGTGGCTGCACAGCCTGCCCACATGGACACTTCTTTTCATTATCACTTCATTCATCTTGACCAAGAAGGGGCTTGTGTGTTAAATTATTTTTTTAGCCATCCTATATTAATAATTTATTAACTTTTGATTGTATGTTAAATTAGAGTGGAGAAAACTCCCTTATCTTTCAGGTAAGTCAGACAATTAGAGCATTATAATTAAAACATAAAGAAATTTAAGACTTTAAACATTCAGTAGTCTCTTCACAGTGAGCAAGCTCWTGTCACCACAGGAGGGATTTTTCAAGTTAGAATTTAGGGAAACATCTGAGGCAAAAGAATGTGAAATTCTTATTGTCAATTAACTTTATTAACACCAGAAAGCTGTATCATTGCTTTTCATGTGATGCCTGACTGCAGATTCCCCCTGCCCAATAATATTTAGTAAATTGGGATTCCAGTAAAATGTTAACAGTACTTGTTCTTCTAAATTAGCAACCTTTTCCCATTAAAGAAAAAAACAGCGTGTTATGACTGTTTTCAGGAATATAGATTTATGTGATAATTTCTGTTTCTAAACCAGAGTATATGTTCCCTAGGAGTACTGCATGTCATTGTTGCAGTAACCACCAAGTACACAGCCCCATGTCACCAGTTGGAGTTCCAGCAGCTACCATAATGTTCTAAGGAGTCACTCAGTATTTGCTTACTCTATATTCATATGATCACGGTCTTACTGTAATTATCATCTACACCAGCATTTCAGGTATAGCTCTTTATAACTCTGTAGACATGTTAAACATGTTTAATATCTAGGACTTTCTTTTGAAAGTTCATTCCTTATCAGAGTAGGAACAGAACATCTGTCTAGCCTAACTCTACTCTTGTTTCCCAGCCTACCCACCACAGGTCCACCAGACTAGCAGAACAGTCCTATATTTACTGTGTGAGCTAAGATTGTCATTCCATTCCATAACTTGTGATAATACTTGAGTTTTATACATTCACATATTGTAAATGTTCAGCTTATAGAATACACAGGAGATTTTATTCCATTTACTGGATGGTTGCTGCTCTGGCTTTTTAGAACTTGGAATTATCTTTTATTTAGAGCAAAAGAAGAAATCTTTTATGAGGCTAAAATTATGCTGCTATTATTGCTGTGAAATTGTGTAAAGATTAGGATTCATGCCAGTCCTCTTTTTTTAATTTAAAAACATGTGATTACATTTTAGGGGTTTATATTTAGAAAACAAAAAATTTCAGAGCAACATATTTATATCTGAAAATACTCTATAAGGTTTTCTTTTGTTCCCCAGAATTGATCAGAGGGACCAGAGTAAAGATCTTGAAAAACCAATATGTGAAATGTCTGTAGAAGTTTAGGCCTTTACATTAAGAGTGCAGGCCCAACTGATGTTAGAAAATTTTTATGTTAGGAAACCTGAGAGGATGCTTCCATCTGGCACACAAACACATTGGGTGCTACATTGAAGAGTTGGATCTCTGGTGAATATGCAGCACTAATTTTTTTTTTAACCTTATTCATCTTTTTATCAAGTAGGCAATCCCTTGCTCCTTGGAGATCATACCAGCCCTGAAAGTTCTCACCAGCAGTCTGGATGTTAGCAAGWGGGGGCTGGTGTAACTAGGAGACACATGGCTTCAGTAACTGAGGGCCCAGAAAGAAGTAGTGAATGAAGTCCAGGCCAATTTTAATATCTGTGGATTTGTTGTCACACACACATTGTTTATTCCTGAAACTAAAATCAATTTTATAAATATGATGTTTAATTCCTCAGAACAACTTCTTTATTAATAATGTCCTATGGGTTTGGAAATATCAGGTAAATATTTTGAATATAGAATAATGATTCAGATTACTGGTATAAGTGTGAAACACAAACTTTAGATAAAATCTATACTTTAGTTAATTATGTAGCAACAGCCTTAACTTTGGATTCAGTTATTTGAAAGACTTTGCCCACATCTTTTCCTTCCTAATATGTGGGGTAGAAATCAGATGGCAAATCACTGTGAGCCAGGTTACCTCAGCATTGTTCACCTTTGTGTGTGACTTCACAAATACAGTAATTGAATGTTATTACTTTCAAACGTTGACATGGAGCATTATGATCAAGGAAGTGGAACTGCCTTATGCATTAAACCCCTAATTTATTGAGCCATGTCTCCAGATTTTATCTTTTTGAAAAAACTCTGATTTCACAGTTCAGTTTGATTGAAATAAGTATTCCCTGGATGTCTGGCTAGGGACTCTAAGAGTCCCAAGGATGCCATATTCTTTATAATAAACTTAATCTGAGCCTTATTTCTTACTGTATAAATTTTCTTTTCATTCACATATTTTAAATGCTCAGTTTGAAGAACTCCCTGGGAGGTCCCAAGGGTAAGGCCTGCACAATTCCTTAGGAAGGCAAAGCATTTTTAAATATTTAGGTCAGGTTGAAAAATTCTAGAGCTACTTCTGTGAAGAAGAGGGACCATGAACGTGAGTTGGGATAGAAGAGTGGGTATCACATTTGAAGCAGAAATAGATGCTTATGATGTATATTTGAAATTTGCCCCTTTAGTTCAAGAGGGAGCCTGTAAAATCCATTTATCTGTTCCATCCCTATAGGTCACCTATTCAGTATGTTGGCAAAGTATGGTCTGAACAGAGAGTGCAAGGAAATGAATAAGAAAGTCAAAGTATGTCAGAAAGTTTCTTCCAAATGGTTAGAGGCATGTGATTGTCAGTACTGTGTAATGGAAATGTCAGGAATGATGTATTTTTAATATGTGCAAGATAATGTTGGTGTCCACAGAGGGTCTTTTTTTCTTATCTGATTAGTACYGTTAATGTTCAAAGAATAAAAATGATTGTTTTACAGTTTAGATTCTGAGATAGCAAAACCTGATTTTTCAACCATGACCTGCATGAGAGAAGCACCCTAGGAAGTCTTAGATCATACTTTTGATTTCTTTAATTTATATAGTGTTTTTTTATGTTTTAATATTTTTGTGAACTGGTGTAAATTGTTAATGCATATAAGCTTGTGTATTTTTGTAAATAGTTTTGTGATTTATTTCTTGCCCCATATGTAAATATTTAGAGTCTCATTTCTTCCAAACTTATTTGAAGCTGAGTTGTGGGTTTGGGGTTTTGTTTGTTTTCTTGTTTGTTTGGGTGGGGGGTGGGGAGAAGGGATTTTGTACTTGGAGAAGGAGATATCTTGTGGTTTAAAGCAAATGTCCCATGAAAGCAATTCAAATATCAACAGAATTATTTCAGGTTAAAACAGACTTTCTTGTGTATGTGTTTCTTTTTTTGATCTTACATGAATTATAATTGATTCGCGATTGATTTGGGATATTTGAACCAGAAGACAGATATTTGTACGACATAACCTCTTATACCAATTTTTGAGGAGGGATTCTGTTTCTGTCTGTGCCACAATCCACTGCCTGACTAAATTCCCCACAGCTCCAACACTTAACTCTTCAGAACTAGAGAGGCTTCATGATCTCTTGTGGAAAGTCCAGGCAAATGTGATGCCCCTAGGGCTCTTAGGAATATGTGCTTTTTTTCTGTGGCCTGGCACCCAGTGTGCTGACCCAAGGAGGTCAAATTGGCCTCTTAACTCAGAATCCTCCGAAAGGGTGTCTGAATAAAAAACATTTTTTAAGATTCTCATACAGCATATCAGATGTCCTATCTTCAGAATAAAATAACCAATAAAGAATGATCCTCTAGACTTAGCCATATGTGGTAAATTGCCTTGTGGATATTCAGTAGAGTCTGTATCCATGAGATGAATTACTATAGATCTGAGCCAAGTGCCAACCTATAACCCACTGCCTAACAGGCTGTCCAGTCTTAGCCCTGTGCCAGTTCTCAGATATTTCAGTATCAACCAGGATTTGGGGCAGGAAGTGACAACTCTCAATATTTAGCTATTTTAAAACTAGTTTTCCTACTGGGAGTCAAAAGTTACAAATTGTTCTTCATTGAAAAAATTAAGAACCCACCCCTATTGGTCAGTAATCAGGAAAGCGGCCTGTTTAGTCCAGATGCCCCTGGTAAGCCACTCATCTGTCACAGGCCCACAAGCCCCACTTCAAACCTAAGCAACAAAACTTCTGCTTCAGCAAATGCTCCCAGACTTGAATACATGTTCCCATAGAAATGGTTCAGGTGAGATTAAAGACACCTATGAAATGTTCACTGGATCTTCCAATTTTATGGGACTCTGCTAGTCATTCCAACTATTTCATCACCAAATTTATCTCATACTGATGAACATATAATAACTATCCCCTAAAATATGTATTTATCACTAAGGAATTGGTGAAAAATGACACTAGTGGTGTTTGAGATTTTAGTCTTTTTTTTTCTGTAGGAAATGCACTTTTTAAATATTAACTCCTTTCTACAGTAAAATCTTGGGAATCTGGAAACACCAAAACATCCTGTATGTCTTCCAACATACCTCTAGGGGGGAAATAAAAAGCTTGAGGTTTAAATTTTATTTTCAATATTTTAATTAAAGTCTCTTCATAGCACATTTCAAGCCACAAACTTTGCTGCCAGTATACATCAAGATTCATTACTTACGTTTCTCATTTATGTCTCTAGATGACTATAATTTAGTGATTCCCTCGTGGACATATTTGAGATAAAAGGAGTGT